CCTCACTGAGGCGCACGACTTGCATCAGAGATCGGAAAATACCTTTTCCATTGACGATGCCCATCCTATCCTTTACTCCAGATCCCATGCTTCGTCTTGCACTCTTGCTCATGCGATATGAGCCAAAGCCTGGGATATGGCAACGCTTAAAGCGTAACACATACCTAAGCTTACCAGCTTGTTTTCGACTTCTTGGGCTCTCTGAGGCCCTCTTGTAGCCGTCTTGGGTGAAAAAGGACCCTCTGAAACCTCGCGGCCCCCCCCGTCCAGTCCAGGGGAGGGTGTAGGGGGAGAGGTAAACCCCTCCCCGAAGGGGAAGAAGGGGTTGTGGAAGTGGAATCAAAGACATCGTTAGACCACCTGTCGCCCAGAGTGCTAGCGGGATTAAGGTTCCGGGTGAGTTAAGGAGCGGGTGAAGTAGCCCGGCTTCGTTGCGCCCTGGCATCCCGACATCGTGGCAAAACACCGTTTCTGGGACGTTATCCATGAGATTCTTCGGAATCCCACCAGCCTTCCGGGCGACAGGTGGTCTAACGATCTCTTTCTTTCATCTTCCACAACCCCTCCTTCCCCTTCAGGGAGTGGCGCGAGGAGTCAGAGGGTCGTTTTTCGCCCAAGATTGCTCCAAGAGGGCTTCAGAGAACCCAATATAGGCTCCAATATCGCTCGAGATAGCCCGACATGGCTCAAGATAGCTAACAACCTGCCTCCAAGAGGCCCCAAGAGGACCACATGACGGTTCCAGGTGCTTTTGGCGACCCCTCTGAAGCTAAAATCCTTCAAAAACCTAAGATGGCACAAGAGAGCTCCAAGAAGGGCCCACGAGGCCCCCAAGACTGCCCCAAGAGCGCCCAAGATCGCCCCAAGAGGGCCCCAAGAGCGCCCCAAGAGGCTATTTCGATGGCCCCGGAGGGAGGAGGCAAATCGAGGATCCCCCCCCCCCTACTTTGATCGATGGTCTCCAAGATGGCCCCAGGAGGCGCTCCAGAGCTACGAAGTGAGCCCCAAGAGAGTCCCAAGAGAGCCCCAAGAGGGCGTCATGAGGGCCCCAAGGCGCCCCAAAAGAGCCCCAAGAGGACCCCAAGACCCCGCAAAGAGCCCCAAGACGGCGCCAAGATGTCCCAACATAGCTCCAAGAGGACCCCAATATCCGCAAATACAGCCCCGTAGCTCCAAGAAGGCGTCCGATGCCCCAAGATAGCCTCCAAGATGGCTCAACACCCTCCTTCCTCTTCTCTCCTTGCGCGCTCTGTTTCACTATATGTGTCTCTTTGTCCCTTTTCCAGTCAGCTCTCATGGCAGGGCTTCTGAATGGGCTTGTGGGGATGCGCGAAGCGTAAACAATTGCTTCGAACTCTTAAGGCGACTGTGCGCTGCGCTACGGCGAGAGCCACATTTTGGAAAGGAGCCGCCCTCCATCCGTGAAGCCCTTCTGCAAACTTTAGACACGAATGTGCGCGACGCTGAGGCGATAACCGCATTTTGACAAGGAACCGCCCTCCATCCGTGAAGCTGTTGCGAGTTCTTCAAACGAAAGTGCGCGGCGCCAAGGCGAGAGCCACATTTTGAAAGTAGGCTGCCCTCCATCCGTGAAGCCCTTCCAAATTCCAACCTTCAGGATCATGAAGTGTGAGGAAGTCTCAGTGTGAGGAAGTCTCGTGCAAAACGCCAGGCCCGCCTTTTCCATTGGCCACGGTCTGCGACAGGGAGGAGTTGTTTAGGAGGAACAGGAATCGAGGATGTGGAGTCGAGGCGCCCCATGCCCGAGAGAGAGAAAGAAAGAGAGAGAGAGAGAGAGAAAAAAACAGACAATGCGGAGTCGGGGGCGGGGGTGGAGGAGGAGGGTAGATAAAAGAGAATGCGGACGAGGATGAAAACGAGGAGGAACGCATTGAGGCCGAGGCCCAGTTGGAGGTGGCGTCCAGGTTGGAGGCAGAGGTAGAGTTGAATGTTGTGAGCATGATGAGGATGATACTGATCAGGTTTTTGATGAGTGAGGAATATCGAAGACGTCTGCGACGAATCACCGCCGCCCCCTGCCCTTGTGGAAGCGACTATGCCGCCGACAGCTGGGCTAGAGCTTGGCCAAGTTATCGGGCCATTTTTCCCCGAATCGGTTTCGAGAGCCTTCGGGGAACGCGTGGGGGGGCAAGAGGTTTGAAGGCGCCCATGTGTCCGAGCGTTGTGGCAAGATCTCTGCCAAGCTATCGGACCACGTGTTCCCTCAACCGTTGTGGTAACCCTTCGGTGAACACTTGGGGGAGGATGGCGGGGAAGATCAGGAGGAGGAGGAGAAGGAGGATGAGGAGGAGGAGAGGAGGAGATGAGGAGGAGGACCAGTGTAAGACCAAGAGTCATCAACGATGTTGGAATTAACCCTCCCTCCAAGCTCCTTCTTCATAGGCCCCCACAACGGTTCATTTCCATTGAGGGAGCTGCCTCGTTTGAAGACAACCCTTTGAAGATCCTGAAGCATGCCAAGACATTGTTCTCGGGATTCCAACCACACGTATCACCTTGACTGCTGCGTCTTGACGATCCGGAATCGTACCAGAGCGCCATTTTTGGGGACTTCAACACCGCGAACCAACATAACTGTTGCACCCGCATCGTCCTGAATCTTTTCAAAACATCGTTTCTGCTACGTTGATCGTGGGAACCCGTGAGATTCTTGCAAATTTTACGCGAATGTCCGCGGCGCTATGGCGAGAGTTACATTTTGAAAAGGAACCGCCCTCAATCCGTGAAACTCTTGCAATCATTTGAAAACGAATGTGCTCGGCGCTAAGGCGAAATTCACATTTTGAAAACGACCCGCCTTCAATCCGTGAAACTCTTGCAATCTTTTTAATGGATGTGCGCGGCGCTAAGGCGAGAGCCACATTTTCAACACCGCCCGCCCTCAATCCGTGAAGCTCTTGCAAATTTTGAAAGCGAATGTGCGCGGCGCTAAGGCGAGAGCCACCTTTCGAAAACCACCCGCCCTCAATCCGTGAAGCTCTTGCAATTTTTAAAGCGAATGTGCGCGGCGCTAAGGCGAGAGCCACATATTGACAACGACCCGCACTCCATCTGCGAAAGTGTTGCCATTCTTTAAGCTTCAGAGTCATACATGGTGAGGAAATCTCAGGCGAAACGCCCGGCCCGCCCTAACAACTTGCCTTGGGGTGCGACAAGGATGGGTTATCTATAAGGAGAAGGAAAGGAGGCGGAGAAGGAGGGGGAGGAGGAGGAGGTGGAGGAGGAGGAGGAGGCGGAGGCGGAGGCGGAGGCGGAGGCGGAGGCGGAGGAGGAGGCGGAGGAGGAGGAGGAGGAGGAGGAGGAGGAGGAGGAGGAGGAGGAGGAGGAGGAGGCATTTTGGGGGCCTCTGGGGGCACTCTTGGGGCCTCCTGAGAGCTTCCTGGGAGCCTCTCGGAGGCATCTTGGGGGCCTCCTTGGGCCTCTTGGGGGCATTCGTGGGCTTCTCGGGGGCCTCGTTGGCCGTCTCAGGGCATTCCTGGCCCGTCCTATGCCCTCGGAAGCCGTCTTGGGGGCCTTTCTGGGCCGATTGGAAACCCTCTAGGGGTGCTCCAGAGCCGTCTTGGATGCCATCTTCGGCGTCTTGGAGGCCTCTTGGGCTGTCTTGTCGCCCTTTTGGGGCGGCCTTGGGGCTTTGGGCCGTCTTGGGCCATCTTAGAGCCATCTTGGGCCATCTTGGTGGGCTCCTGGCCCGTCTGACGCCGTCGAAAGCTGTCTTGGGGGCCTCTCTGGGCCGACTGGGGGCCCTCTTGGGGTTCTTCAGGGCCGTCTTGGAGGCCATCTTGGGCGTCTTGGAGGCATCCTGGGCCGTCTTGTCGCCCTCCTGGGGCGATCTTGAGGGCCTCCTGGGCCGCTCTGGAGCCATCTTGGAGGCCTCCTGGGCGATCTTGGGGCGATCTTTGGGGGCTCTTGGGCCGTCTCGGGCCGTCGGAATGCCGAAAATAAACAAATGCCAACATCCTTCAAAAGAGAGGAATATCTGATGGCCTTCGGCCCATCCCGCCATTGTGCCTGGGTTGGGTATCGAGCCTATTGGATGTTCATTGGGATCTCGTGGGAGGCCTCTCGGGGGCCTCTTGGTGGCAGTTCGGAGGCCTCTTGGGGGCCGTTTTGGGGCCTCTTGGGGCCTCTTTTGGGCCTTTTTGGGGCCTCTTGGTGGGGGTGGGGGGCTTTTGGGGTCTCCTGGGCGCCCTCCTGGGGGCCTCTTGGGGCAGACGGCTGGGATTTTCGTTTCGCGTTCCCTCTCCTTCTCCGTATTCGGGCCCTCCTGGAGCCGAACAAGTCATGCGACAAGATGCCGGGAACCCCAGAGGGCACGCGGGGAGCCCCTGGAAATTTTGGAATTGGAGGTCCGGGCCCTTTAAAGAGTTTTCGGAACTGAGGACTGAGGCTCCAGGGATTAGGCAAAGGACCCGAGGACGCCCACTCCGTGCCCAGAGGCACGGTGGCGGATGATGATACTGTGTAACATGATGAGGATAATCAGGAGTGCGTCGCAGGAGGCGGGGGAGAAGGGTGAGCATAATGATCAGGTGGGACGGGCAATGAAATAATAGTAATATTTGAGGATGGTTAGGCGAGAGGAGGAGGAGGAGGAGCAAGGAGGGAAGATGACGAGACAGGCAGGATGAAGGACACATGGTGGAAGGAGGATAGATGGAGGGAGGGGGAGGAATGAGTAAGGATGAAGACGGTGGGATGGATGAGAAGGAGGATGAGAAAGCGGACGAGGACGACGATATTGTGTGGGAGTAGTAGGAGGAGGAACAGGACGGGGAGAACGACGACGTCAGACGAGAGGGATGATTGTGAGGATAATGGTGGTGGTGTCGATGACGATGATGACAGCGACGAATATCATGATGTTGGGATGCCGGCCACGACTGTGCTGGCACTGATTTTGGCGATGACCACGACGATGATGAAGTCGACGATGAGGAGAAGGAGAATAAGTGGCGCGTTTGAGATGGATGGGTTTCACCAGGTTCGCCCAGATCTGGTGACCTTCGACCCAACGGACCTCCAGCACGTAATCGAGTCGAAGTACATGATGGTACTATTTCTGACTAGTGCTGATCATATACGCTCGTCCTCTCATCTCTTCGCGCTTCATCGAGATTACTCATCGTCGTTCCACTGCCGCTGATGCCCCTTCCGTGCGTGAGGAGGAGGTGGACCAGGAGGAGGAGGAGAAGGAGGAGGAGGAGGAGGAGCAGGAGGAGGAGGAGGAGGAGGAGGAGGATGCGGATTTTGACTCGGGTGAAGACGGGGTATAAGGAGTGGGCGGGAGGGGAGGGGCTCCTTCTAAACTACTCTTCCCTGCTCCTCTACTCTCCGCTTCGCCCTCCCCCTCCCGCTTCCTCCTCCTCGCTCTGCCGCCACTTCTCCTCCTCGCCCTGCTGCTCCTCCTCTGCCTCCTCCTCTTGCTGGTGCTGCTCCTTGTCCGCCTCCTCCTCCCCCGCGCTCCTCGTTCTCGTCCTCATCCTCGTCCCTCACCGTCCTGCTCCTTGTCGTCTTTGCTGGCTATGAGAAGGGATGGACGTCGCCCTTCCTTGTCGTCGCAATGCTGGAGGATATGAGATAGTGTCGGCGCTCCGCAGACTGCGCTCGCCGCTCGAGGAGGAGGATGATGAGGAGGAGGAGAAGCACGAAGAGGAGGAGAAGGAGGAGGAGGAGGAGGAGGAGGGGAGGAGGAGGAGTAGGAGGAGGAGGAGGAGACAGGGGATGAAGAAGAGGAGGAGCTAGGCCACTCGAATGGGCGCAAAGATAAAGGCGCTTCGCCATTCCCGGTCTGGACTGGAAAGCTGCTGCTTTCGAGGGGGCGGCACGCGCGCGCGAGAGTGAGAGAGAGAGAGAAAGACAATAACGACAATGGCGACTCGCTCGACGCGGGGAGCGGGGTTAGGTCCAGAGGAGAGCAAACGTTTTCCTCCCCAGTCTCCTCGACTCGACCTCCACCCGACGCCTCCTCCTTACGCTGCGTTGGAGATCCCGCTGCGGTGATGCGCGGCGCCCATCTGCCCTGAGCAGAGCACGCCGTTGTGGAGGCAGCCCTCTGAGCTCGACGCCTGCCTGACGCCAGCCTCCCTCGCCGTGCGCAGGTGGCCTCCGACCGGGTGCCCTCCCGGTGCCTTGCGCCGCGCGCGCTGGCCTCGCCCTCTCGCGGCGCCCGGCTGCGGCGGAGGCGCCCGCACTCCCGCTGGCAGCGGCTCGGTGGCGACGGCCTCGTCGGCGCGTCCGAGCGACGGCCTCCGACCCGGGCGCCCGGTTTGCTGGCCGCCGCTGCCTGCTGCAAGTTCCAGGCGCCCGGCGCCTGCGCCGGCAGGGCGCGGGCCGCGTCGTCCGCCCTCCCTGCTGCTGGCGAGCGGGGCGTGGCCCAGAGGAGTAGACGGGGATGTAGGGGGGGGAGGTCAAGTGGAAGGAGGAGGGAGGAGGAGGGAGCATGAGTCAGGGAGGGTCGAGGTGTTTGGGCACTCTTGGCTCATCCTGGGCCTTGAGCAGGGGCCCGCTGGAGTGCCAACGTCGGAGGTCGGTGGATCTCTGCCCGCGCGCGCGCGCGCCGGCGGCACAACTGCGAAGGTGCGCGACGCCCTTAACGCGGCGGTGCCCGAGCTGCTGGGGAAGCTGGAGGACCCCGAGCTGCAGAGGCTGGTTAAGCAGGCGGGCCGTGCGCGCAGGAGTGTGTGTGTGTGTGTGTGTGTGTCTGTGGCGGGAGGGATGGCTGGGGGGATAGCGGATGCTGGTGCTGCTGCTGATGAAGATGAAGATGAAGATGAAGATGAAAATGAAGATGAAGATGAAATGGATATGAAGATGAATCTGAACATGCTTACGATGATGATGCTTGTGATGATGCTGATGATGCTGATGATGATAACGACGATGCTGATGCTGATGCTGGCGCTGATGCTGGTGATGGTGATGGATGATGATGATGCTGCTGCTGATGATGATGACGGTGCTGATATGATATGATGCTGATGTTGATGCTGCTGCTGGAATCAGGCTGTATGATGATCATGTGTGTGTGGGGGGTATTGGATGCGGCGTTGAAGGACGAGGAAACACGTATTCGCGATCTTGATGGCTACGGCGATGGCAATGGCGATGTCGATGGCGATGACGATGACGATGATGATGATGCTGATGATGATGATGATGATGACGACGAGGATGATGAAGGTGGCGGTGGTGGTGGTGGTGGTTATGAGGATGTTTGTGGTGGTGGTGGTGGTGATGATGACGAGAGTTACGATGATGATGATGGTGATGATGATGCTGATGATGATATTAATGATGATTGATTGATTGATTGATTGATTGATTGACTGACTGACTGATTGATTGATTGATTGATGATGATGATGAGGATGATGATGATGCTGATGATGAGTAGGAGGAGAAGGATGAGGAGGAGGACGCTGAGGAGGAGGGCAGTTGAACATGTATGAAGCAGAGCCGTACTGTTAGGCGTCGTATTATTGTCATTACCAGTCTTAGTATTGGTATCGCATTCGTAGTAGCAATACAAGTTGGAATATGCGCATGAGAAAGAAACGGCGGATGAGGTTGTGGAGTAGGGGTATGTGGATGTCAGAGGAGGAAGGGGGAGGGAGGAGGAGGAGGAGGGGGAGGGAGGGGAGGAGGAGGAATAAGACGTGAATGAGGGTAATGAACATGGTGATGGATAAGTCGGTGAGGATGAGGATGATGACGAAGAGGATGGATCATTACAAGGGTTTCAGGATGATGGTGATGATGAAGACGATGCTTGTGATAATGATGATGAGGAGGTTGAGGAGGAGGATGATGAGCAAGAGCGGGAAGCAACTGATGACGGATAGCAGGATGATGAGGATAATGAGGATGATCTGTCCGAGTAGCAGTAGGAATAGGGTGCCGATGATGATGATGATGATGATGATGATGATGATGATGATGATGATGATGATGATGATGATGATGATGATGATGATGCTGATGCTGATGATGATGATGATGATGATGCTGCTGCTGCTGCTGCTGATGATGATGATGATGATGATGATGATGATGATGGGTGATAATAGGGAGGACCATGCGGAATGGGAGGATGACGGCACGCCCCGCTGCAGTTACCCAGTGTGTTCGCGCTAATCTCGAAACCTTTATGTTTGGCCTTATCCGCGCTCTGTCTCCGCTTCCTTCCCACTTCTGACATCCGGCGCCTTTTTCCATAATCCGTATCTCCGCGTTGGTTTTCGCCTGTGCGTGCGCTGCTCTGCTCCCACCTTTCGCCCCCCCCCCCTCCTCGCCCTCTTCTCCACTCCTTCTGCCGCTGCAGCTTCAGAGTCAATCCGTGTTGCTCCGTCCTTCGACTTTCGCGTTGTTCATGGCTGACGAAAGGGACGCCACTCAGGTGGTTGCGAATAAGTGCCGGAGATCGAAAGAGGATAAGCAGGGAGCATGGGCTTGGCTGTTCACAAATGTCTGCGCGCGGCATCGAATGATTCGATGATCCCAAGGGGCGATTTCCCCCGATTGGATTCTGCGATTTGGGGCGGCCTCCAGACATCCATGTAGGGGGGAGTAGGAGGAAAAGGATGAGCAGTAGGAGGAGGAGGGGGAGAGGGAGGGGGAGGGGGAGGGTGAGGAGGAGGAGGAGGAGGAGGAGGAGGAGGAGGAGGAGGAGGAGGAGTAGGAGGGGGAGGAGGAGGAGGAGGAGTAGTAGGGTGAGGAACATGTGAAGGAGGATCCCTACGTCCTCCCTACAACGCCCTAAATCCTCCAAAAACCTTTGGTTCCTACTTCCTCCTCCCTCGTTCACCCGCCCACCCAACCACCTACTATACCCCACCCTATCTCACGCCACCCTGCTCAGCTTGTCCACCCCACCCAATCCCATCCCACCCATCCCACCCAATCCCACCCCGCCCCACTCTGCTCCACCCCGCCGCGCTCCAATTTCCCCGTCTACCCACCGTCCTCCTCCTTGAAGGGGCCCGCCCGCTTTCCTGGCTCGCCCCGACTGTGAGTAGGGCCTCGCCGCCTCCCACGCCCAGGCGCGCGAGAAGGACGAGACCAAGTTCGTGGCGTCCTTCTGGATCCGAGGGGACAACTGTTCTGATGATGCTGGTGATGTTGGCGTCGACGACGCCGACGACGCTGCCGACGACGACGATGACGATGACGATGATGCTGATGATGCTGCTGCTGCTGATGATGACGATGATGCGTGTGATGCTGATGTCGACGACGACGGCGACGACGATGATGATGCTGATGATGATGATGATGATGATGATGGCGGTGATGATGCTGACGATGCTGCTGATGACGATGTCGATGTCGACGATGGTGATGATGCTGATGATGATGATGATGATGCCGATAATGATGCTGATGATGCTGACGATAATGCTGCTAATGATTAGCAGGTGATGATGCTGATGATGATGACGATGCTGATGATGCTGCTGATGGTGATTCTGATTCTGATTATGATGCTGCTGATGACGATGCTACTGATGAGGATGCTGATGTGGTGGTGGTGATGATGATGCCGATGATGATGCGTATGGTGATGATTATGATGCCGATGACGATGATGATTGTGATCATGATGATGAGGATGAGGATGAAGATGATGATACCGATGATGATGTTAATGCTGACGATGATGCTGCTGAACATGATGATGATGATGGTGATGATGATGATGATGATGATGCTGATGATGATGATGATGATGACGATGCTGCTGATGATGATGCTGCTGATGCTGATGATGCTTGCGACGACGATGACGATGATGTTGATGATGCTGATGGTGATGGTGTTGGTGATGATGCTGAGAATGATGCTGATGATGCTGCGGATGATGCTGATGATGATGATGATGATGATGCTGATGCTGATACTGCTGATGATGACGATGTTGTTTATGATGTTGATCATGGTACTGATGATGGTGCTGATGCTGATGATGATGCTGATATGTTTGATGATGCAGCTGCTGCTGCTGCTGCTGCTGATGATGATGATGATGATGATGATGATGATGATGATGATGATGATGATGATGATGATGATGATGATAATGTTGATGATGATAATGTTTGATGGTGCAGACGTTGCTGCTGATGACGCTGACGATGCATGTGCTGCCGATGACGACGTTGACGGTGACGATGCTGATGATTATGATGCTGGTAACGATGATGACGATGGTGTTGATGTCGATGCTGCTGATGATGACGCCGATGCTGATGTTGATGATGCTGATGATGCTGATGGTGATGGTGATTGTGATGCTATTGATGCTGCTGCCGATGCTGATGCGGATGCTGGTGCTGATGCTGCGGATGACGACGATGACGACGGCGACACGACGACGACGATGATGATGATGAAGACGATGACGAGGATGATGATCAGGATGTTGCTGCTGCTGCTGCTGCTGATGATGATCTTGATGCTCATGCTGATGCTGCTGATGATGACAATGATGATGATGAAGAGGAGTAGGAGGAGGAGGGGGACGGGGAAGAGGAGGAACCTGATGCTGATGATGCTGCTGCTGCTGATGCTGAGGATGATGATGCTGATGAGATTGATGATGGTGATGCTGATGCTGATGCTGATGCTGATGCTGATGATGCAGAGTACGCTGTTGATGGTGATGATGTTGCTGCTGCTGCTGCTGATGATGATGATCATGGTGATGATGCTGATGATGATGTCTATGATGTCTATGCTGCTGGTGATGATGATGATGATGATGATGATGATGGTCGTGTTGGTGGTGGTGAGATGATGCTCATGATGATGATGATGATGATGATGCTGCTGCTGCTGCTGCTGATGATGATGATGATGATGATGATGATGATGATGATGAGGAGGAGGAGGAGGAGGAGGAGGAGGAGGATGAGGAGGAGGAGGAGCAGGAGGAGGAGGAGGAGGAGGAGGAGGAGGAGAGGTGGGGAGCCGTACTTGACGGCAGTAGCGAGAATGTAAGGGTGAGTCTAGAGTGAGCGGTAGAAGGAGTTAGGAGGGAAGGACTCGGAGCGATGGGAGTGTAGGTGAAAGGAAGGGTGAGTAGGGAGGGTTGCAGGAGGACGGAGTGGGTGGAGTTGATTTTGGGGATTTCGACGCCGATTCAGCAACGAGCCTGTCAGCGGAGGTCGGCACACAACTAAAGGGTGGAGGGAGATAGGGAGGTAGGGAGGTAAGAGGAGGATGAGGAGGAGTGTTGCGGGGAGTGGCACTTCCACACGACCGATGCAGTGCTAGCGCAGCCGCAAATAACGCCGGCTCGCAACCAGCGCACGCACCCGCGCGCTCGCGGCGCAGAGAAGGGGGCGGTGATGATTCGCGGCTGTCCTGCAGAATGAAATCATTTAGATTAGGTAGGTCATTCCGAGCGGTCCATTCCTCACTCTTGTGAGACCATCCAGAATAACGCTTCCAGAGTAGCGCTTGGAGCTTTTCAACCATTCGCTGGCGTGCGTTTACGTGTGTGTACGTGTGTGTGTGTGTGTTTGTGGCTGGGCTCGATCCCCTGGGATGGCCCTCTGCGGCAATCGCCTGTGTGCCACTCTTTTTTCCTGGCCTTTTGTCTACCCTCACCCTGCCCTCCCGTTCTTGTGTCGCCCGCCGAACTCTGCCGTGGCCGCCCGCTGCCAGGCCTGCTGGCCGCCACCTCGCCCGCTCAACTCTCTACCGCCGTTCGGCGGGCCCCACTTCCCGGCCGCTGTTGACCCGCAGCCCGCCGCTGCCCTGCCTGCCCTGTCCTGTCACCCGCCGCCTGGCGCCCGCGCTGGCCGCCCCTTTCCTCGCCTTGCCGCCGCCTCGGCGCCTGCCCGCTGCCGGCTGCCTTGGCGCCCCTGCGCCGCTCCTGGCCACTGCCCCGAGAGGCGCCGGCCGTTCTTTGTTGTTGCTTTTTCTTCTCGTCGGCTGCTGGGCTCTCGGGCGGCTCTCGGCGCGCGGGCTCGGTGGTGAGGAGGTGCTCCCGCCCGCGACGGCCGAAAAGTAATGACAAGTAAGTGTGTGTGTATAGATTTGTGTGGGTAGGTGGGTGTGCCCTTCCGCCAGCGCAGTCACTCTGCCTAGCCGCCGACGCAACAAGTTTTTTTTTTTTTTTTTTTTTTTTTTTTTTTTTTTTTTTTTTTTTTTTTTTTTTTTTTTTTTTGTTTTTTTGTTTTTTTTTACATACAAAAATATTATCAAACAAGTTTTATTGTGTGTGTGTGTGTGTCTGGGCGGTTTCACCAATCTGCATGGCCGTGGCTGGACTCTTTCATCACGGCGCGTTGAATTCAGTTCGTTTGCAATTGGCATCTCCATCAGCCGACCGCGCCTGAGGTTCCTCTGGGCCGCCGACTTAAAATTATGTGTGTGTGTGTGTGTGTGTGTGTGTGTGTGTGTGTGTGTGTCTGGGCGGGGGGCAGCCCCCCGCGGGCTTCGCCAGTCTCCCGCAGCGCTCCCTCTGCGGCCTTCCCCTCGGCCGCGTGGGCACGGCTCCCGGACAGGGAGGATGCCAGCGCACCTGGTGTTCTATTTTCAGCGCCCCCACAAGCGGGATACCTCCGCTGGTCCAGCACCTCTTCGACGGCTTTGGTGCCTCCCCGATCAGTGACGTCAATCAATTCCTCATTCTCCATTTGCCCTCCGGCGAATTCGCCGCAATGTCCAATCCTTTCAATCCCGACGAGCCACCCTCCTCAAAGCTGTGATCCGTCGCGGTCATTATTCCTTCAAGCCACCGTCCTCAACCACGGGTGGCCCACAGGCGGCGCAACCGCAGCCCTCTGCGGGACGGCCATTCCGCACGCTTGCAGGTGCTCCCGCGACACACCTGGCCTGCCTGGTGCCATGCGCAGCCTCCTGGACCGCTGGTCCAATGGCAAGGTCTACTCCGCGAGCCAGATGCAAGTCCACGGGGCCGGCCCCGTCATCATCTCTTGCGTCCGCTCCAACGCCAGCTTCGTCCGCGGGCACACCGATCGCGCCCGCCGCATCAGCGTCGCCCTCACTCGGGGCAAGAGCGGCTGTATTCTCGCCATGGACGCTGGCATGGCACAGTCCAGTCGGGACGTTATGTTCGTCGACCAGGTCCACTTCGCCTCCAGAGCTGTGCTGCTAGTGTCTCAGCCTTCCTCCGCCGATCCCGACCTCGGCCCCGGAGTGGCCTTTCCGCCTGTCCGCCTCCGCGACGCTTGGACATCCGCCCCCGAGGCTGCCAAAAAGACGCCTCGCGCGGCCGCCCAGGACGAGGCGGTAACACTGCAGCAGGAAAGGACTTCTGGTCTCTCTACGGCGGCCCCCTCCTTTCAATTCCAGTCCCGCCCATGTGTGCGAAGAGCTGGGCCAGTGGTGCGATGAGCTGGCCGCCAGCACAGCCTGTTTACCCATTCTTGCCCTCGTCCCGCGCGTGCGTCCGCGCCGCTTCAACCACGTCCGTCCTCCGTCCAGCCCCGCGGGTCACGACCGCGGGTTGCTCTCTGAGCTTGCGCAGAGCCTGCGCCCCGTGCTTGGACGTGACGCCGGCCACGTCGTCCTCGCTCTGTGGTGGCACCGTCTCCCGCGCCGAGGCTGTCGGGGCCCCGACCCCGGGCGGCAGGTCTGTGGCGCCCTCGTCGAGCGGGAGCGGCAGCGGAAGCGGAAGCGGAAGTCTGCCATCGCCGCGGGGCGGCCCCACGAGGGCGGCAGGCGCGCCGAACGCGCCGGCCTCCAGGGAGGCCGGGTTGCTGCGCAGGTGAAGCGTCGACGAAGCAGATGGATGGATGGATCAGAATTAGCGCCACATGTGTGTTGACGTATTCGTCTTCGAAACCTAGCGATGTCTCGAACAACTCGGCCATGTCGCACCACGATCCCCATCCCTTGTCTCTGGGAGAAGCATCAATGTCGCCCTCCCAGCGGCCTTTGCCTTTCTGGTCGACACCGGACTGGACAGCCCAGCGCCACCAATCATAATTACGCCATTCTGTTGTCTTTTTCGCCCACCTCTCTGGCGACATAGGTGCAATTTTCCCAGCCCGGCGCATCTTGCTCCTTAAAAGCGATTCCGTCCAACACGCTACGTCTGCTCCTCGTGCT